GACTATGTTGAGATAGGTCATGCCAGGGTGTCGGGTGCGGTTGATTTGGGGGTCCAAGGGTGGATACGGGGTGCGGGGCGAAATGACTCTGGGTTCGTCTGCCTAAATCAAAGTAAGGCCGAATCCTATCCGCAGCGAGTGTAACATCTGTTTTTGAGGCTTCAAATACGTTTAAGCCTACGGAGTCCACCGTGCGGGGAGTCATGACTCTGGGTTCGTCTGCCTAAATCAAAGTAAGGCCGAAACCTATCCGCAGCGAACGTAACATCTGTTTTTGAGGCTTCGACTTCGTTCAAGCTTACGGAGTCCACCTCCCTTCAGCGAAATGCATGTGAATCGGAGGGATAGGGAAGTGCAAACAGCCGAAGAAACGACAGAACTTCGGGACTGCTTCGTTCAAAAGGTCGGAAAGAGTTTCGAAGATGTTCGAAGACAAAGTGCGGCTCTTTGATTTGCCTGCTAGAGGCAAAGCTGTTCCCGAAACATCAGAAGATCCTGCAGATTAGTCGTAGGAACTTCGTCAACCTGTTGCGACACATTTCGGCCTTCTTCACTTGCGTATCGAGGATTCCAATCAGTGGAACGGACGGCTTATCAACTCTGACCCCGAAATCGCCCACCTGCTTGCGTTGAGACCCCAAAACATTGTTAGCGATTTCTGAAACAGAAAGAAGAGAGTACAAGTGACGGATCTATACTGATGTCTCGAAACAGTGCTAAGCCGACCCTAAACAAGCTTACGAGCCGAAACCCTTACACTGGCCCAAGTCTCGTAGATATTGGTCATATTCTGCAAATACTCGGGTCGCAGCGCCTGGGAATAGTTGTTGACACTGAAGAACAGCAGGTCGTTGCCGCCCGAGTGCGCCGTGTAAACCGCGTCGGCGAAGAACTCGGGGCGCGGGTAGCGGGGCTTGCTCGGCGCGGCGCCGGTGCCGATGCCAGCCCAGTAAGCGGAGGCGTTCTGCTTGAACGCAACAAACTGGTCCACCTGGAGAGGGGAGTTTGAGGACTTCAGTACCGACTCAAAGAACATTTTTGAACGAAGATAGAGTGGCCTTTGAGGGGATTACGGTAGGGTTGAAGAGAGGAGAAAGTGAAGAAAGCGCTGCGCAGCAAGCGATTGCTGATGCGAGCCCAGTATGCGGAGGCGTTCTGCTTGAAAGCGACGAATTGGTCCACCTGAGAAGGGGTTTCAAAGGTGATGAGCTGAGTCGATCGAGAGTCTTGGTAAGCTTGACTCGGGCTTTCAAGTAGCTTTCACCGAGATTGTAGTAACGTTCATTGGAGGAGGGGAAGAAACAAAGCTCTGCCAATGCGGATGCCGGCCGAGTAAGCGGATGCGTTCTGCTTAAACACAACGAACTGGTCCACCTGAAGAAGGGGGGATTTAGACCCGGGTTAACAGACCGGTTCTGTGGGCCTGGAGTGAGGCAAGTTGAAGGGCTCGTGACGAAGCTCATGTAGGGCGTTTCTGTCACCAAAGCTAGCCCAGTAAGCGGAGGCACTTCTTGAAAAGCGACGAGCTGGTCCACCTGAGAAGAGTTTTGAAACGCTTTAGCTAAACTCCAGCTATTAATTTGACGTCATTCAACATCTTTCCGCGGTTGAGCCGGCGAGGTAGAACAGGGGTAATCATCGATTGGACGGGTTGATTGAGAGTCCTGGTAGACCTGAAGCGAGCATTCAAGTACTTTCACCGTGATTGAAGTGACGTGATTCGAGGAGGGGAAAGAAAAAGGCTCTGCCAATGCGGATGCCGGCCCAGTAAGCGGAGGCTTTCTGCTTGAATGCGACAAACTGGTCCACCTGAAGAAGGGGGGGTTTAGATTCGGGTTAACAGAGCGGTTCTGTGGGCTTGGAGTCAGGAAAGTTCGAGGGATCGTGACGAAGCTCATGTAGGGCGTTTCTGTCACCAAAGCTGGCCCAGTAAGCGGAGGCACTTTCTTGAAACGCGACGAATTTGGTCCACCTGAGAAGAGTTTTGAAACGTTTTGGACGGGTTGAGAGTCCTGGTAGACCTGAAGCGAGCTTTCAAGTACTTCCACCGTGATTGAAGTGACGTAATTCGAGGAGGGGCAAGAAGATGGCTCTGCCAAATGCCGATGCCGGCCCAGAAAGCGGAGGCGTTCTGTTGGAACGCAACAAACCAGTCCACCTGGGAAGGAGAGTTTAGAGCCGGGTTAGGTCCTGAACTTTTAGGTTAGGGCCTAAGCTCTCGGGTTACCTAGGACCTAAACTCTTGGGTTGGAACCTAGACTCTGTGGGGCTTAACCGAGGGCATTTGGCACCTGTTGCAGGAGGGGGGTCACCTGATATCGATTCGAACTCTTTGTTTTTTAAGGCGTCGCCATCGTCAAGTTCAATCATGACGTCATTTTTGATTCTTGCCAGACCCAGACATTGTTCCCAACTGCATGATCTCGACAAGCTCGACGCACCTTGCTCAGGAGGAAGGGCCCCTTGATACTTGTCTGAACCAGTTAAGCAATCAGAAGGGTCACCGTCATCAACAACAACCACAATTTAAATCGTACCCCGACCAGCCCCAAAAAGTTTAACCTTCCAAAGCGCATTTTATCAGGAGGGGGGTGCCCAGTCCGCATCATCATTCCTGTCCGAAGAATCACGTTCAACATCATCGGACTGATTTCAACCCTTTCATTACCCTTGCCAAACCGAGACAGGACCTTCCGAAGCGCACCTGTTTCGTGAGGGGAGTGCCCTGACACCTGTCCGCATCATCTCTCCAGTCAGAAGTATCACCTTGAATATTGAACCGATTTTCAAGCCCTTTCATAACCCTTGCCAAACCGAGACACGACCTTCCTTAGCGCACCTGTTTTACGATAGGATTTTCCACTGGTACCCATCCGTGTCACTTCTTCAATTAGATTACTAATCTACACATCATCGAATTAATCAATTAACAGTTGCCAAACACAGATTCAACCTTCCGAAGCGCACCTGTTTCAGGAGGGGGGTGCCCTGATACCCGTCCGCATCGGTCGTGAAATTGAACCGGCCGCTGGACGGAGTTGCAAACGAGGTTCCCTGGTAGAAGCTTGCCGTGGGGTGCAGGCTGGGGTTAAGCAACGGCAGGCCAAGAGCCTCAGCTGCAGGAGGGGTTAAGAATGAGGTTAGGAAAGCGGGTTAGGAGGTCTCTCTGTGATGGTCTGCGGCGGAGATTCGAATGCCAAGGAGCCTTCACTGCGGCACAGACTAATTACTGGGTTAAGAGCTGGGTCAAGAATTTGGAAAAGAGGTGTACTGTTTCTGAGGTGTAGGGTGGGGCAGCGAGGTCTCAATAAACTCAGACGTCGCTTCCGCTCCTGGACAGGTTAAGAACTCGGTTAAGAACCAGGTTCCAAGAACTTGTCCCCTGATTCAACCCTGCCGTGGGAGGCAGGCTAGCCTTTGCAGTTGGACAAGTCAAGCACTGGGTTAAGAACCAAATTCGAAGATTGCAAAACCAGATTTAAGGATTGCAATACGAGATTGCTTGGTTGGATTCGATGTGGGCAAGACTTTGCTGTGGATCAGGTCTTGACTGAGTCCTACTTTAGATAAGATCAGCATGATCATACAGTCGCTGCTTACAAGGAACAGTCATTATGCTGGACGTCAGATCCAGTTGTCTGAAGTTGGAGTAAGCGGCTTCCCCAATAGATCCACTTGCGGAATCTGTTGGAATCTATTGAATCTATTGGAGTGCAAACCAGAAGCGCAAGGGCATGAGAACATAGTGGCCCAGGAATCACAAGCAGGAACAGAGCACAGGCGCGACTTGAGAAGTCAGAGTGTTCGCTACATCTTTATGCGAGCTATCTAGATTGACGAAATGCATGGGACTGAGACGTGGGCGAACAATAACTTAAGCCTCAAAAGTATCAGATCTCTCAACGCAAGCGCATTATGTCCGAGGTTTGGAGGTGCCTTCAGTAAGCAGTAGTCCATGGGGTAGGGCAGGGGAGTTTAAGACTGCTGTGAACTTTGAAAGAGATGAAACGGCACAGGATCAGACAGAGCTGTCGGCTAGTGGTGGAAGGACTGTTCACCTTGGGAGACAAACGAGTTGAACAAGGGCATCATAAGAAGGAGACTTATGATGCTACTTGAAATCCTTTTTACAAGGCTTGGTTAATAGCCCTCTAACCAGAGGTCAGGGTGCGTCCTCCAAAAAGAGAGCCGGACAGTATGTCAACAACAGTTTCAGTCTGTTCAGGACAAAAGTGATGCAGTGAACTCAGACCCAGCTGAAAAGGAGCAACTGTACGGGTGTGTGCTGCATTATGAGACCGACGTTCATATACAGGTACTCAAGCGTTTGTGTAAGAGAAGGACCTTGCTCACAGAATCTGAAACATGAGAGATCTGAACCACCTTCGTAACCCAGCTGACATCTTCAGATCTGCCACTGATCCCCAAACCAGACAGATGTTCAAGGAAGTTTCTAGATACCTGCCCAGTGAATCGCAAGCGAAGACCAACTTTCAGCGTGTGATTCCCGAGGCTAGAACACAACAAAAGCTGCGCGAAATGGCAAACAAGCACCGGGTGAATCTACAACCGCTTCCTGACGTCGTCATTTTTGACCATGAGACACTGCCCAAAGACCCAAACGGCAAAACGGCAAAACGGCGAAATGCATCGGCATCCGGGCATCTATCTTTGATACTGTAACTCTGAGAAAGTACTTCATACAAGCCTTCTCCAAACATGCGATGACGACAGAAAAGTCCAATGCAGATGCATCGGAATTTCTGCGGATGGTTTCCAAGGAGGGTACGGGGGAAACGTGCAATAGGACCCAAGAGAAATATAGCTCTGAAAAGTTGACGTGAGAGATCCATAGCAAACACGGAAGTGAAATACTCACCAAAAAAGTCGGGGATGATCCGTCCATCCGACTCGCGCCCCGTAATGTTGTAGAACGACAGCCCGTACGGGTACGCCCCCGTCGAGTCGTCGCGGCCCAGAAGCAACACATTCCCGACGTCAAAATCACCATCTCCAAATGCAAACAGCGCCGGCAGTTTGGGGTAGAGGGAAGTTGCCGGGACTGACGCGGTGTTCACCGCAACCGATGGCGACGTGACTAAGAGGCGGCGCAGCTGGGCGGATTCTGATGGGCAGCTCGCGTGGATGTTGGGGGCAACTAGGAGGAGGGAGAATGCGGGGAGGAGGGCGAGGAGGCACCTGGACAACTTTTCCATTCTCACCACCACTTTATCAACGTGGTTATGGACTTTGTGATGTTGCGTCGCGCAAGTGGTTCGAGAACTGAGAAGGGGTTTGGCGCGCAAAGGTTTCAATCGCTCGCTTTCGTCGTTGACACCGTTAGGAAAGGGCCCCAAGTATAGAAGGACTAACAAAGTGCGCCAGAACTCGCCACATGATGAATAAATGTACACCAAGTTTCTACTGGAGGAGCGTATTCTTCCGCGTTTGTGTATGGGAGTTGCGTGAGATCCAACCTGCCCCAGGGCCGCTTCAAGCAATCACGGTCGCAGCAGGCCAGAGCAACGGGCCGCAGCACTAACCTAACTGTGAAGCAGACAACACAAAAGCTCCGCATGCAAATGGCGAAAGAGTTGTGCCGCTCTCAGATGGTGAGGACACTGAGGAGAGTGTCCAGGATCCTGGAACTTGAAGGAAGGAGAAAGGCCAGCAATATTGAATTAATGAGAGGATGATGAAAAGCTCGGCGTCTAACGCCTCGACGATGAAAGGTGGTGGCGTGGCTGCATTCACAACTGGCCAAATGCTGGCACGGTACCCTAGCTAGCTGCCACACTACAGTCTTCAGACTCTTCTCCCTTGCCAGCCCTGGACCTTCTCCATTTCCAGTGGTGCGGCACTGGGCAGTTGGTGCACCAGTCCGTGACTGTACCGCAAAATGTGCCTCTGCAGACTGCACAGTGACGGTATCCATCATGCACGGATTCAGCCTTCCGTCTCAGTCACAGCAATGCCGTTCGAAGTTCGAACCCGGGTCTTGACACACCAGAACTCTATAGGAGAATTGTGGGAGCCTGTTAACATAGTGAGTGCCAAGTTTTGGAGTTTCGTATCAGTGCAATTTCCGTGAATCACGGGAGCGTTTTGCTGCAGTAACTTTTCAGTTGAAACGTCGAGGTCATCCATCTTACCATCACGATTCACCAGTCCCACCTGTTAAGCACCTGAACCACTCGGGGCAGACTACCGCCCTGAAGAATGCCCTTTGATGTGGGTCAGTACAAAGACAACCGGGCATAGCCTGCTTACGTGTCTAATGCCGGCGTCACATGCAGCGTCATGCTTCATCAGAGGCCAAATTGAATAGCAGTCCCGGGTCCGACGTTTCAAGTACGGAAGTCATGGTCACTTCGAAAGACCCTGATCGTCAACCGTCAGATGACATATACGTACAGTGGACGGCAATACATAAGCTAATTGTCTATTGACTACGACAATAGCCGTCAGATCGAGAGATATAAATCGGACGATGCTAGTGGGAACATATCGTATTGAAATTGCACGCGCGCGCCACCGCCCCGGATTCAAATTCAAAAACTTGAAGCTGTGCACGGCCCACTGCCCAGGCCCGCGTGACACTGACACTGACAGTAGGTACGTTGTTTCCAAATCAGAATTGCACGGAAGACTTCTGCTCCGGAGCCTGTCGCAGTGTCGGACTAGGATTTAGCATAATACCTACCTTAAATAAGAGACTTTCATATACCTACCTATGTCCACAGTCCGACTGTGCAACTGTGGCTGCTGCTGCCTGAGAAGTCTGCTCAGAGCTGTGCCTCCCCAGGGCTCCCCTACGGCCTTGCCTTTTGACATGATCAACTGGATCGAGGATCTCATGGTACTGGTGCCAGGAGCTTCCACCATTTTTGTCAGGGCGATGGCGCACTGCCTGCTAAACATGGAAAGAATTTGGGCAAGTAGGTAGAGATCCAAGCTTCTCAGGGTGCTGAACCTGGCGCTTCTGCAAGCCCCCTGTCAGGCTGAGACTCATTCAGATTCTGTAGGCGGGGCACGCTGAGGAGGTCCTAGAATGGCGGGGGCGATCAACGAGCTCAGAGACCAGCTTGGGTTCTGCAGAAGCAATGGGGACTGGGAAGAGGAGTCCAGGTGCTTGAATGCACTTGCCTCACGGTATAAAACAGCCGGGCATTACGTCAAGGCGATCCAGTTTCTAGAGGAAGACTACCGAATGCTCAAGAAAAGAAAGCTGAGCGATAAAGAGAAGCTGGATCTTCTCTTGCCGTCTGTACAGAGCCTTGGGGAGCTGCACAACGGGCGGGGCAACTTCGAACTTGGGCTCAAATTTCAAGTGAGTTTATGCCGCATTTCTAAGGCCTTGTTCTAAAAAATTTGCACATAGTGGTTGTCTTCAGCAATGACCAGCTGAAAGAGCAACGTGCTCCAACATGATCATTTCCGTCCCTCAAAATTTGGATGGCCTAATTGCCGTTGCAAAGGTTCTTACGGAACCCTTTCTTGCATTGACAACTTTTCTTGCAATCGGAAGGGTTTTCATGCTATGTACTCTGTCCTGGACCATTGAAGGTCAGTGTTTCAACGGCCGAAATTCATCCTAGCATGAAAACCCTTGGAAATGCTACGGCCGAGGGTTTCATGCTACAGGCTATTCCATGCAACCTCCTCGTACATATAAAATTTACTCAAGGCTAATGCATCTCGGCAATAGACCGACCAGTTCAGATCAAACTTTCACAGAAACTAGAAGGTTCCCAGAAGAAATCCTTTCGCGAAATATCCTAACAATTGACCTTTTGTTGTACAGCATGAGCACCGCAACATGGCGCTCGCGTTGTCTCACCTCGACCCCTCCTGCCGCGAGCTGCAGCGTGCCGAGTGTCAGCTTGGGGTGGCATACATGGATATGGCAGATCGAGAGAGGGAGGATCCTCAGAAGTCCGAGAGCCTGACAAAGCTCGCCAAGCAACACCTCACAGAGGCCCTGCAACTCGCTAGTGCAAACAATCTGCAAAAGGCACTTGTTGATGCTCATAACAACATGGCCCTGCTAGCGATGCAAACAGACGACTTGACGCTGGCCATGAGTCACCTGAGCAAGGGGCTGAGGCTTTGCGACAATCTGTACCCTGACTCGGAAGCGCGTTTGCACCACGGCCTGGGGATGCTCTTCTCGAAGCAGGGCAACAAGCGCGAGGCTGCAAAACACATCAGAAAGGACATCGAGATCTGCCATCAGATTAAGCACCTGCAGGGCGAGGGCAAGGCTTTTTTGACGTTAGGAGACCTGCACTGCAAGTTTCACAGCTACGAGGATGCGATCGATGCGTACAGGAAGGCAGAGAGCATCTTCCGGTCCCTAGCCGATGAAGACGAGTCTGTCAAGGTGGCGCAGAATAACATCGATGTGGCGATCGATCGCCGGGCGGCTAAGCAGGAGCTTGACGAGGCTCCCAAGGAACTAGGAAAGCTAGACCTCAGGCTAGCGGAGGTCAAGGGGACGGAAAAGGAGAGCGCCCTGCAGACTCGGAAAGCAAAGAGGCTCAAAGAGCTCGTCGAGGTTGCAAACAGGGTGGATGATTTTGAGAAGGTGCGCTCTTTGTTGTCTCATACCTCGCTCTACGTTGGACACCCAATTGCAGGGATGGTTGCATCTGCTCGGGTGTTATTTCGCTGGCGGTTCTTGAGGAGTGTCCGGTTGGGATCTGACCAGCAGAGTTAAAGTAGGATGACTACCTTTTGTTGACCTACTCTCTGTCTTGAAGTGCGAGCTTTATAAGAATGCCTCCAGTGCTTCGTATTTTGGGGCCCAACTGCAGCAGTCACAAACCAATCCTGATTAGTCCTTACAACCTGGTCATTGGTTGTCAACTGTTCTGGACGGAGCAAGAGTTGCTGATTGCTGTTCCTCCGCTTTTGTTGCAGGCAAGGGCCTACGCTGAGCAGCTAGCGGATCTTGCTTCCTGGCTGGGGGACCTGGGGCTGCAGGCAGACGCGTCAACCGCTGTCGGAGAGGCGTACTACAATCTGCAGAAGTATAGCGAGGCAGAGAAGTGGCACCGCAAGAGCTTCAACTACTCGCAGGCAATCAATTCTGCTGAGGTAAGCAGTGCAGAGAACACCAAATGATTGGTGCAGGTGCACAGAGGTACTGCTTGTCTGGCCAGAGTGCCAATACTTGATGCCTGAAGCGACAAGGGTCTCGTAAGCAAGTCTGTCCTCATCACGGATCAGAGGCAAGAATAGACTAACAAGAAGTGCCAGAGATGCGTTCCACTGTCATACCCATTCATATCGACCAGAAGGACCACTTGTCTTCACTAGCTTGAATGGCAAGTCGATCATAACTTTGTATCTCCATGATCTTCCCAATCCTCTGTCTGCTGTCCTCGTGACTTGTCCCATACGTCAGCCACCCCACCTCTTCTGGCAGGGCATGGCTGTGGCGATGACGAACATCGGAAACTGCTTAGACTGGCTTTCCCAACCGGAGGCGGCCGTGCGTGCCTATCACGAGGGCTACAAGTAAGCGATCGTCTGAAATGAACCCCTTCGTGGCCTCATGCATGCAGATTTGCCCTTGTTTGTTCATTGAAAGCTCGTCCTGCAACAAGATTTGAACACTCTGCTTTTTCGAAGGAGATGGTTGAATCTATTCTACTCTGGTGGCATGACCGTCCGTAATTTACAGTGATAGTGGAGCTGGCTGCGAAACATATTGTAGCAAACGTCCTATGCTGACGAGCATTGAGGACAGCTTCTGTCCTGCAGACCTCGCATATCACGCAATAGCGCACTTCCGTCAGCAGAGTGTGACTGTGCCTTCGCTCTGTTGTCCAGGAAAGCGAAGGAAGGCAACTTGCTGGATCAGCAGATTACGGCAGCGGGAAACATGCTCTGCGTCCTTGAGAGGACGAAGGACAGCGGGGAAATCAAGTGAGCAGGCTCATCCCTATGTAACAGAAGATCCTCGCTGCAAACTCGAATCTTTCTGCGTAAACAACCAGAATCTGCTGTGCGTTTCAATCCTTCCGGTAATATTGCACAGGATATTAAGCATTCCTTGCTGCCACGAAGAGAAGGGGTTAATCCGCCCTTGGCTGGCTTGACTTTTAAGGGGTGCTTACGATGCTCTTAATATCGAAACGTGAAACCATCGCCGACCCGTGAAAGTAGCATAAAGGGTCGTCAAAGATCAGGCTCCGTTGTAGATCACTTCGGGTCCTTTCAAAAGTGCCCAATCTCAATGATTCCACTACCGATCTGGCGAATTCCGCCTCATAAAAGATGGAAAGGAACGGCAGCTCTTAGGAAGAGCACGTTGCAAAATTTGGAAACTGATCCAACGAATGCAAATTGGGAAGTATCCACTTTAAAAGCAGATCTGCGAACAATTGTGCGCAGGAAGATTTGGACGACATGCGTGGCGGAGCCCTTTCTGCATCAAACAAGGAAGAATCAAAGGTGCCGCTGGAAATCAAAGCGACACGCATTTTCACTTGACTCTCTTTCTCCTCAACAGGAAATGGACCAAGGAGCTCCAGCGACTCGAGAAGCTCCAGAAGGATCAGCGGAGGGCAGGGGCAGTCCAGAAGAAACGCGCGGAGCAACCTGACGAGGCGCCCGTTCAAAAGAGGGCTCCAGCTACGGGCGCGGTCTACAAGAGCGCTCCAGCTACTGGTGGCGTCAAACCAGGGCCCCTTCTGTTTGGTTGTTCAAGCCGGGGGTCTCAACAGGCGGTAGCGAATCCAGTCAGGAAAGCCGCCCCTGCTGATTCGGTGAAAGCTCCTCCCAGGGAGCCCTACAAGGCGGAACGCAGTGAGATGGAAGCATACGGGATGAAACCAAAGGACAGGATTCGGCAGAGGTCGCCTCCCCGAAGACCGAAAGAGGTCGCGGCGGCTGGAGCTAAAGTGGGCGACAAGAAGACAGAAACGAGGGAAAACGGGGGCGTGGAGCGAGGCGCGGGAACTTCCGGCGGCAGAGGTGGTCCTGATAGGAAGGACAGTACGAGGAATTCAGGGGGGGGTGACGTGGCAGCGGGCAAGACCGCCACGGGTGCGAAGGTAAAGAAAGAGAGCGTGGGGCAAAGCCCAAGCGGGATGCTGGATCGGTGGCTAGGAAAAGGCGCCGAAGGCCAGCCGCACAAGAAGCAGCGGCGAGAGCAGGCCTCGTCAGCGGGCGGAGGCAATCCGGGAAGGAAGGCAGTGGGGGGCGTTTCGGGAGCAGGAACAGGAAACGAGGCCCCGTCACAGAACGAGAGCGGTGCGGCCGCGAAAGACGGGGCGGCGGTGAAGGAGCTGCTGACGAAGCAGCGGCGGCGGGTGATTGAAGAGGATGACGAGAGCGAGGACGAAGATTCGCCGATGGTGGTCAAGAGGAGGCGGGTGGACACGGGGGCTGAAAGCGCAGAAAAGAACGATTTTGGGAGGGGCTTGAGGGAGGGTGAGCGGAATGCGGGTGAAGTGAGTGGGAGGACTGGAGACCGGAATGGCAGCGGAACGACGGCCGCAACGGAGCGGAAGAAAGGGACAATAGAAGCGGACGCACTGAAAGCTGTCACTAGAGAGTGGCAGAGTGACGTCAGTGATGCGCAGGGAGCTCCGGGAGTGGCTGTCTCTGAAGGACGGGACCGACAGACGGACCGCCCGAAGAAGACGGCCCTTACGGAAATCACAAACCGGGGGCCGCAAGCGGAGCCAGCCTCCAAGCCCGCAGCGAATAAGGGAGTGCCATGTGGCACGAGCAGCGGGGCCGTGCCGGAGGATCTGCTGGAGACGCAGCGGGTGGATCCCCTGACTCAGATGGGAGACAGCGAGGTCCCCCTGGAAGAGGAGGATCTCCCGGACGCCCTCCCGGAAAACCCGGTTAGGTTTTCTCACGCTGTCGAGGAAGCCTGCGGCCCTTCTAAAGGGTCACAGGGGGAAAGTAAGCGGACACCGGGAGGCCTTGCTGGGTCCGGACTGGGCGAGAAACGGTTGGAAGAAACGGCCGGGCCGTCGGGGACGAGGCCTTTCGACTTGAACGAGCACAGCAGCGCGGGGCCAGAGACCGGGCGGAAGAGCATAGCGTCCGGAAAGGAGGCGACGTCTGGAAATACGGGGAGCTTCCGGGGGAGTCAGGTGAGGAAGTCTGGCGGCGTCATTTATAAAAGCTTGCCTATGAGGATGCTTTTCTAGAGATTGTCTCCAGTGCAGCAGGAGTCAGCATGATCCTCGTGGTGCCATGATGCAGGACCTAAAAGTTCAACGGTTCAACAGTTGACAATAAAGAAACAAAGTGGGTTCAGGGATTGATGGTTAGAAACTGAAAAAGCCGCTTCAAAAAGACCCTTCGTTATGGTTTCTAAGAGAAGCAACTCAGAACTGATGCTTGCTTGGAGCCGTTAGGACATACAAAACATCCAGCCATGCGTTATCACATGCGACCGAACGTATTCTTTGTACCTCTCGTTGGGGCAAAGAGCCCGTACCTCGTGAACTCTCCTCTCAACCGTTCTCGCCTCCGCAGGCCAAGTCGATCCTGGCTAGGATCCACGGCCAGACGCTGAAGGTGATCATTCGGACACAAGGCGACGAGTCGCCGCCCAAAACTGTCGCTTGGCTTATTGAGGAGATCGTGCGGCTTTACTCGTGCGACAGCGTCACAGGTAAGCAAGTCTCATGCTCTTCTGGGGAAGACGAACCTGGTTGTACGTGCCCTTCTGTGAAATGGGTCTGGTCCTTGTCTCATGTTCGCTGGATTCGACTTAACGGGCTGGAGATGCAAGGTAGCAGAGATACGTGTTCAGCAGTAACAACGCGACACTTCAGTAGGGTGCACCGAACGGATTCTAGATTAAACAGGGTCAGAGCTAGCCCGGCTCCTTACGGGAATACGCGGCGGTTCTCGCTCTCGTCCGAGTCTGGGTTCGCTGTGGGCTTCAGCACGACACGTGACCGACTGATTTGGCTTAGGTCACCCTCAGCGACTTCTTCAAGGTTCGAACGTAGCTTCATCCGCCAGCCTCAATCTCGCTAGCTTCTGGGAAAGTCTTGCTTCATAGGTAGCCACAGTAACCCGTCGGAGGAAAGTTCCGGGACAGAACCCTCGCAAAGAAACTCAGCAATGCCCTCGTCCGATGAAATTCCAGCCCGTCAAGGCAACCGTTAGCCGGTGTAATAACACCCCGTACTCGATGTTAAATACCCCTTTTAGCGGGTGTTCATCCCTCTCACTAATCCATTCAAAACGTGCCCTGATTCCTGCAGGTGGGAGTCATCGTTCGGCGTCGCCTGAAAGCTTAACCATTTGGGCTCAACGTCTTGAGTTTCACGGCATCCTCAGATACAGCATTATAGATGCCGTTATGAATGCTGTGGAGATCTGTCAGAGTAAATGCGTCCTGATTCTTGCAGGCGGGAGCCCCATCGTGCGGCGACTTACACATAACGGCGTCTCGTTGAAGCCCATCCAAATCGCGGAAGACGTGCTCGGGGATCTTGCTCCGGACGAAGCCCTCGAAGCGCACGTCGATGGTAAGCAGTGTGACGCAAGCTTACGTCTTCTTGCTTGCGAAGGTCGACGAAAGCATCGGCCCAGGTTGGCACGAGGACCCCGTTGACGTTCACACGAACCCGTTTTTGTCTCCAATCGCGTTTACAACCTTATTCCAGTCACATGCTGTCGTTTCCGTCCATCTGCACAGATAGAACACCTTTCTATTCCAATAATATTCCAGTTGGACGCGCAGGCCTCCCTTCATAAGGGATCAAGTGACTGAGCAGAGCTCGCTGGAAATCCAAATGCGAATCTTCAGGGCAGTTCAAAATCGATATCAATACGATTGTTTCTCTTTGCTCTCCTTCGCTTTTTCTTCCTTCGTGGTTCTCTTGCCTCGTTCTCATTACATCGCCCATCTCCGAAACCTGCAGGTATCATTAGGAAGCCCCTCTTGGCCCGCTACCAAGCGCACTGTGCCGCGCTCGGTCTAACTTGTAAACGGATTCCCAGAGCAATCTGTCGACTTAAGCCTCCCGACCGTATTCCTGCTCTTCTTCTTGCGAGAATATGCTTTTTCAGCAATTCCATCCCCTTTAGGTTGGACGAGAAAGCCCCTCTTGGCTCGCTACCAGGCGCACTGCACGGCGCTCGGTCAGACGCCCATTGCCGCAGTCGTTACGCGACTCGCGTCAAAGCACGAGGCCGAAGAAGAGGTGGAGCTACCGAGTTGTGGTCTTACGGACGACTCCGCGGGTCCCGTCTTGGCGGCGCTGGACGAGTGCGAAAGCTTGACGTTATTGAACCTTTCCCAGAACGCTTTAGGTGAGGTCATCAGCAAAGCCACGTGCGGTAGATTGTACTCTGTCGGCTTCTTTGAGGGTGAGCCGGCAAGCCCCTCCGTCCCCGGTTGAAGAGCGTTCGGTGAGCTTGCAAGCTACTGCTCAAAACCGCAGAGTGACGTTTGGCGCAGGAACCCTAACCACTTTCCTTGCTTTTCCTTTACAAGGATCGCAAAATCATAGAGCTACTTTTGTCGGACCATAAGACGTAATAAGTAGAAGGGAGAACATAACCTGCCCCTTCTCCGCTCCTTTCTGCCAGGCAATAGTACGGTGCACCGGATACAGGAGCTGCTGGCGTCGCAACCGGACCTGGGCTTCTCGCTGGACCTGCATGCGAACCAATTGGGACCTGGCGCCCTCACGCAGGTGACTCACGCGCTTCTCGTTCCTGGTTTCTGCACCACACAACTTTCGTTCAAGAACTCCGCGGGCTGCAGCGCTATCCAGGAAGCCTTTGCGGCTTGCTTCTCTTGCTGTATTTTGGTCGTAACAAACCCGCGCGAGCCTGAAAGATTGCCCATGTTGAGCAACTTAAAACTGCGAAAGTGGGGTGGTAACCGTCCGCTCATATATGCTTTATGTCTGCCGTTGATTGCCTGACTTCGTGACGCTTTGCTCGCGATTCCTGCGGACGTCTTGGCTGAAGTTCTGCTGACGACTTCTGCTGACCACTTCTGCTGACGTGTCTGCAGCTTTCGCGGTGCCCCATCGTCCTCTCCCGCCTTGAGGTGCTGGACCTGTCCGGGAACCGGCTGACGGACGCCGCCGGACGGCACCTGGCGACGCTTCTAGAGAAAGGATCGGGTAAGGGCTTACTACATCAATTATGCGCAAGTCGACCTCTTCACCCAATCATTACACCCATCGCCTTGTAGACATCTTTCTCAATCGGTGCCGTTCTGATCCGGACAAGCGTTATCACGTGCTTGCCTTTCGTTCCCGGATTCGGAATAGCGTCAGGAGGATAAGAAATGTATGGCCTCGTTCTCTCTCAATGCTTTGAACCCTTGGTGCAACGACTCGTCTCCCGCGAAAGCAGAGCCGTTGGGCTACCTCGTTGTGTAAGCTAATGTGAAGGACCTCTGCTTTTTCCAGCGCCCATGTCCCTTTGCGTCGACAATTGCAGCGAAAGAACTGTTTGTTAAGATCTCCATGCAACAAAGGTCACCTCCAGTGCTTCTTGTAACGTTTGTTCTCTTGTGCCATGAATTTTGCTTTCTGCAGCGCTTCGATCCTTCAGCCTCGACAACTGTGGGAAAGCACTACTACACCACTTCTTCGCCCATTGAAGATTACTCTTCTACTTACCTTCCATCACGTTCCGTTTCCTAGTCTGAGAAAGAGCTCTGCTTCTTGCAGCGCTCATGTCCCTCAGCCTCGACAACTGCGGCCTCGCCACGCGCACCTTCACCGCCTTCGCAAACGCCCTGCGGCCGAACATCCCCTTGACTACGCTCCGCATTGGTGAGCTGGCCACGTGGCAAACTTCTGTACGCACAGAACGAGAAGCTCCCTACAAAAGGCTCCCAAAAGCATATAAAAGACCAGTCGCATAATTGGACACGCAAAGGCAGCCAGGCGACTAAATGGTAAGCATTTGTCTTGTCTGGGTTACCGTGCTACAAAGGATCTGAATCTCTTGCTCTCTTTTTTTATGACCTCGCAGGGCACAACAATCCAGTCGCCGGCTCCGCGCTCACGGTTCTCGTCGAGAAGCTCGCGTCTTTGGGCAGGTAATCCGTTCTTGGACGCTCCTTCTGTTCAGCACAGCTCTAGCCTTGTCTGAATCAAATACAAGGATGCAATGTTCCTTGTAGGTAACCTGTCCCGTGTACCGCAACTCCACAGCTGAACTAAAGTATCGACCTTTGCTGGACAGTGCCGGGTTCAAGTACTTTTCGCAAAGTATCTGCATACACATCTTTTCTCATGGGATACCAGACTCTAGTCATTTGGGTCAAGCTCCTGCGTGTTTGTCAAAAGCTCACTCGATTCCGGTTTCTTGAGCACGTCTTCAATCTTCCGAGCCCGTCTTGAGGACCTTATCCCGGAACCCCATTATTTTCAGTTGGGATCTTGTACAGCAGCGCAGCTAGGAAGCCCCAAACCAGCGTTACGTTATGCTGACAAGCGTTCGCATAGCATGCTTAGCGCGGCTTTGTTTCTTTTGCAGTTTCTCCGAACTGGACATTGCCGGAGTGTCCGCTGACCCGTCCGCAGCAGCCGCAATCGGACGCTTCCTGTGCCGGTCGCAAACCCTCCAAACGCTGAATCTGGCCGACACAACTTTACGCGACGTGAGTGAACGGGTGTCAATTCTCGGTCCGCCTGACACAATCGTTCTCGACTCAAGGAACATGTTCGCTTTTGTTGGGAGACCGACGAGCTTGCGTTCCTTCTACCAGTCAGCCTCACGAGCCCTCACGATTTGAGAAAGCTGGAATTGTTTTAGCGGTTTGCAACCGAGCGTCGCAAACCGAATACGTGGAAGACAGGACTCGCCTTTCGACATCCGGTGTCCTTCTTGGCGACCTATCTGTAGACTTGCCACGACGGATGTCCGTCAACGGAAGTCCTTCTGAGATATTTTAGAGCGCTTCAGAACGGATCAATGTCGCGTTCAAAGAGCCGCCAACAAATGAGCACTTGAAACCTCAAGTGACGTCAAATGTTCTTGAATCAGGCGGGTGCGGCGGCCCTTGCGAACGCCCTCGCAGCAGGAGATGGCGCCACATGTTCCTCCATCGACCTATCTGGCTGTCACTTCACCCCGCTCCAGGCCGCTCCTTTGTGCGTTCAGCTGACGCGCAACGCCTCGCTGACGTCACTCTCGCTGCGCGGGAACAAGCTGGGGGAACAGGTGATGATATCAACCAGCCGGAATGTCTCCTCTGCTGACCAGAGCAAGTACTGCCACTCTTCAAAACTTCTGGTGACGTCAGCAGGTTCCTCGTCTCTAGCGCTTCGGCTGGCAGTTTCCAGCATGCGAGAGTCCGTCAGAAACGACAGTCCGTTCGAGAGTCGCTGCAGAATCATCATACGTTTGTATATTCGAACCAACGGACTTTACAGAATCGAATGTTTCGAATAACCACGACCTCGGTTTTGGGCAGCTGAGGAATCCGGCTTGAAGAGATTACGTTTCACATCCAGTCCTGTTTCGCCCATCCTCTGTTTTTGACATTTTTGAGAGTTCCTCTGCCAGGCCGCGAGCACGCTGAGGAGGAGCATCAGCGAGCCGACGAGCTGCTTACGGCAGCTTGACGTCAGCAGCTGCGGGCTGGCGGCTGGGACGCTCGTGGAGCTGGTCGGTGCCTCGGCGGGTGAGCGGTCCTGTGGCGAGACAGAGGGTTTTGTTGCCACGCGTTCACCGTTCTCTCCCTGATGTATCCGTTAGCGGTGGCTTCTTACTGATCTCCTTTAACGAGTCGGACTATGCGGTTGCATAAGCCTGACAGGATCTGCGAGTGGAGAAAAGATGTGTCGAAGAACACACGCCAAGAGCGATGCCCTTTAGAATTGCACCCACTACCCCACTTCAACCTGCAGCAGGGAAGGGGTTTGTGCACGACAACGGTAGATGTTCTGCCGCCTTACTGTTATGCATGACCTCACTATTTCGGCAATGAACGCTTTGATGCTCCCTAAAAGGGAGGGCAGGAAGTTTTGGGTGCTCCGGAAGGCACAGTCACTTTAGATACGGAGTCTACAACCATGCAGTGATTGTATTTTGCCTCGCTTCGCTACAGCTGCGGGTAGTCTCGAGGAGCTTCGTCTCGCCGCCAACTGCGACTTCTCGACGAACTCGGACGTTACAAAGCCGTCCGGCAGCGGGGGCCATCGTCCAGCGAACGACCAGGAGATTGTGCCTGAGAGCGAGGAGGAGGACGAGTGCGAATGGAGGCATCAGCCACGTGGAAGCCAACGAAGTAACGAATCTTCGAAAAAATCAGATTTGGGCACTGGGGAAACCGGTCCTTCGGGCCAGCCAGCTTCTGCGGATCGGAACCGGAAAGCTGGGGCAAGATCGAGGGCAACAGGGCAAGGTTTCCATGCGCTCTTGATAGCTGTGCGCTCTGCTGAGTCGTTGAAAGTTTTGGATCTGTCCGAAAATGGTCTCGTGAATGAAGAGTACAAGAAGTTGAAGGAGGTCTTCGAAACAAACGCCCAACAGTTGGAAGATTGCTGGACACGCGGGCTTTTGAGGAAGCTATAAGCAGATGTCGAAATGCCAAGCTTCAAGTACTCAAAATATACGCTCTTAGCCCACGGCCGTGCAGCCAACTAGCATCGTCCCCAACAGATTGCTTGGGAATCTGATTTTTTGCATAGATTGGTTCGTTGAAAGAGTTGCTGCTTTAGAGTTCTGGACCGCCAGCCAGCCAATCACCAGTCACGTACATCATGCATAAAGGACTAAGGGAGCTGACATTACAATGCCGTCACTATACTGACCATATGTCCATATGCCTATCGAGCAAATATGTCTGTGGCGCAAATCCCTGCTACAATCTGCATCAAAAAGTGTCAACACGCAGATCCATGATTTCTCAGCAGATTAACCCATGCATATGGAAAGCATGCGCTCAATCTATCCATGGCATTTTAAGGACCATCTGCAAGTTTCAAATTTCCCATGTGCATGTGCTTAAATGCAGAGGTCACAGCTTGTGCATATATTCGAATGCAAGTCGTCGGCTGTGCACATTCTGCGCAACTCGACATGACCAGTGCCGGTTAATTGCATGACCAGTGACATGCACTCGCGATAACGGTTAAGTGATATGTGTCGCGACATGCACATGCGGTTGTCCGGGCAAACAGATCATGGCATCTGGTTAATATATATGAAGGACCAGATGCACAACTATAGCTCTTTTGGGTTTGCAATGACCAGTCATGCAGTTATTATGGCATGCAATCTCAAGAACCTTTCACATATGCATGTTCATATGAGAACAGAGCAGATAACACACTTGAATGTTTCCCCATCGAAGGTCCATCATGTCGGTTAAGGTCCTTATATTCTCTAACGTTAATGAATGCTACTGTCACCTTTTATGCACAGATTGCTTATTGTCCGCCCCTCTTCCGACCCGCCACTGCACATCCCGCGGCGCCAATAGCACCCGGACCGCTTCCCCTAACCACTCCCCACCTTGCTGAAACCCCACAATGTTTTCGAGTTTCCCGTCCCAAGTGCGACGGGCCCGCATCACAACTACATGCGGGCAGCAAGGGCCCGCCTCCCTTGGCCACTTAGAACCCGTGAATCTTAATGGCGTCCTTCTTCACGATCCCGTTCTGCAACAGAACAGAGGCAACATAAGCAATCTGAAAGAGATTTGCAAGCCAGAGAAACAGACTTCTGGCTCAAGAAAATGAGAAGAACAAGGTCAAGAGCAAAATGACCGACCAGGCAGAAGTGGAACAAGAAAGATCCGTCTAGGAAGTGAAAAGTGCAACAGAAATGCAGTACAGTCCAGGCTTTGAAACAAATAGACCCAATGCGACCAAAAGCTCTGCCTACTCTTTTCTCATACATAAGATACGCTAAATCCCAGACGAAAATAATCGTTCAAAAAAAAAGTAGGGTAACACGTTCAACAGACGCATTTACACCAAAAACAGATAGCACAGCATGGTTTTCTTGAAGCTTGTTACGCTTGCAAATGAATGCCAGTCGTTTCACACCAGCACTTTGCCATGCCTCTAACAAAGGTGAAGAGAGTCAAAGCGTCCTGGATGTTTGCCAACAAACTGATCACTCAGCAGAACGAGACCGGAACTGAACGTGGGAACCAGCAAGAGAACTGCGCCATACCACAGCTGCGCTTGAAAGCAAAGAGCTCACCGACACAAGGAACTGCGACACATTCTTGCGCTGGTCACCCTGGAGCTGGATAACCGTACCCAGCTCAGTGTCCTCCACCACAGTGCCGTTGCACGAGAACTCCTGCAGATGGAGATCAGAATGACATCAGCAAGTGCGTATTGAGCTCGGCGAACGTGCTTGGGAAGTAAGCAAGGAGCCAGTCCCACTACTGTGTGATTGCTTCCATCCCAGACGAACGGCGAAGTTTAGAAAAGGGACACTCAGAAGTGCTTTCCAAGAAGAGTGCTGCCTCATTCCCCAAGATGACTCAGCAGTAGCCCTCATGATCATTAGGCAAAGCTTGCTTCGGATCCTCGCCCAGAAACTTCTCAAATGAGGTGGACAGCCTGCTGGGATGCTCTGCAAAACCACTGAATCACCTCTCCGGACGACGGCCCAAACTTGTCTCGACTTTTGGCACTTCTCTAAATTGATAAGACACACCATGACAGCAAACCCTAATCAGCGGTCTCTGCTTCATCCAGCACACTCCCTTTTAAAAACTCGTTCCTGCCATTGAGACCAGTTTCCTCCTCAACTTTTACTTTCAACCTGTCAAGACTGCTTTTCTACATTGAAGTACAGGCATCAGGGCTCTTGTAGATGATTGACGCAACCAGCGAAACCCTCTCCAGCCCTTTTGATGGATTGAGGCACTCCCCTGAGACAGACTCCACTTAGAAGACAGCAAACGATGCACGCATCTGCTGTTCTGATGCTTCCTTACCTTCTTGAAGTCCTTGAGCAAGCGCTTGTAATCAAAGCTCTTAGAGATGCCCTGTACCGTGGTCAGACTCTTCCGGCCGTTGCGCTGCTGCACACGGACATGGACATAGCCCTTGCCCTTGGACGCCTCAGCCGAGTCCTCGGCGGCCGCATCCGCAAAGGGGTCTGCAGCACAAGTTCAAGAGCAGGATTTAGGCTTCTGTCGCAGGCTGCACTGCCAACCATTTTAGCAGACTTGATTCTCAAATGCAAAGGGGTCTCACTCAAAGTTGGACATAAAGTTGAAGTTCCTGTCGAAGGCTGCAGTGATAGCCACTATGATGAGGTTTCCTTTGCAGCCTTCGATTATGACTGGCCTAAAATGGCGTCAGTGCAAAAGCCGTCCTCAAAAAAGGTTTGCAAACGGGTCGGAACTGACATCTCTTTCTGTTGGTATACGGGTCTGAATGGCAATGCTTCGCTAAAAAGCAGAAACAAAAATTGGCAGAAAGGGTTCCCTCCAATTCTTTTCTTTATGATGTACTCTGTCTCAGCACTGCTGTTTGCCATGAGCCAGATGATTGATATGCTCTTCTGATGTTCTGCAGAGCCAAGTCTTCCATCAGGATATCTCAGTAGAAGACCTAATGGTCCACCCAAAGCACAGTGTAATGATACTAGGCTGTAAAGCAAGGAGCGATAAAGAGCTGAAGATAGTCAACTCCAAGAGAAGATGTTGACAAATGCTCACGGGCAGCGACCTTTCCAGAGGCTCATTCAACAGAGTGAAACCCTAGTCTCTGATTTTCTGCTTCCAAAGTACTTGACTAGCTCATTGTCTCTCACAATCTCGCAGAGCAAACCCTAGGTCAAGAGTATCCTAACCAGGACCTGTTCCGCATCGTGTGACACATGTAGTTTGCCGCAGCGACCTGAAGGAGCACCAACTTACAATCTCCTACTGAACGCCTAAAATCATCTGGGGAGTAGGAAGCGACTGCTGCAAGCGATCCATCTTCTGACCGATAAGCTGACCTTCCTTTGCGCTCTGCTCCATAACCAAGCAACATGCAACCTCAAGCATTGTGAGTAACCTTCAACATATGCAACATCAGCACAAACCTGCAGAGTGTAGCAATCCAGAAGCCTTCACACCTTCTTTCTACCCTGTTTCTTACACGAGGACCTTGTGATCACTAAGCAGAACAGACTCAGCAGAATGATAACAAAAATCGTTGCGGCAAACCCTGTCCCTGAATACAGAATCAAGAACCGAGTCAAAGCACGAACAAAGGCTTACCGAAAGCGCCAACAATCTGTGCGTCGAGCTCGGACATGAAATAACGCTGGGGAGAACGCCTAGGTCTGTTGAAACGGCTTTTTGAGAGGGTAGAAGGAGAAAGAGGGGGGGCGCAGCAGAGAAGGCTTGCGGCTTGCTCCTTGAAGTTGAAGCTGTGTTTGCGTCTGTCTCTCTACAAATTGAAAAGGTTTGAACTTTGAAGAGCTCTGAGGACCACACTTGTCTTGCTGGCGCCTAGGTTTTAGGGGACGGTACATACCGTAAATTGGCAGTCGAGACTTGCTTGATTCAACTTGTACCTGGGTACCGGGAGGTTGCCTCACCTGCGCGACACCCACTAGTCAGAAGCTTCCCGGTAGGGTACCGCACCTCTGTAAAGCCTTCATGCGGTGTGTGCCAGGTACCCACGTCCTACCTAAGTGCATGCCTCGGCTTCCATACAAATAGACCACATCATAGATATGTTCCATCTTTGCAACATAAGACCTTCTCCAAAAGCCTCTCATATGTACATATTCCTGCGTATCACCACTGCCACCAGAAAGCTTCAATGCGTGTATGGCGCAGTATCACGACTTCAGACGCTATGGTTGTACTCTGATTGAGGTACGTTCTCATAAGAGTTGGACCCACATGGTTGCCGTCATAAAAGATCAGGCGGTAAGAACTCAAAGTCATGTAAGTTGTTACAGTGCCTAGGTTATACAAGGCGTGACCAATACCATGGGGGCAGAAACGGTATATCTCTAGACAGTTTGGGCCCCATGATGGACTCGTGCGTTAGTAAAGGAGACCCCAACAATTGTGCACGAAAGAAGCTTCGACTAGGCGCATACATGCTCCACGAGCTCCACAGATATCAATGATATTCGTCACCGAGTACGACACAAGCACAGAAATCTTAATGGTTCTCGACCTATGAATCGCCTAATAGGTATGCCAAGGAAGGTCGCCTAACGGAACTTGATGGACACAAGCGGCACATCAAGATCGTTCTCGTCGTCATCCTCATCTTCGCAAGCTACGACAATGTCAAAGTGCTTTCTCTTCTCTGGAACGACAACCTTTGCAACATCCCGTGCCAATTCGGACACCTTCTTGGACAAGCGTTCCTGCAGAACACAATTGCTGCTTTAAGTATCATGGGCAATGGGCAAGCAGTTTAAATGACGACAAAAGGGACGAGTAGGGCTGGAAAGACCCTGGTTAATTGTCACTAATTGTTAAGTGGGCTGTCGTAACCCTCTGGCAAACCAGTGGGTTAATCCAGTTTAGCTTGCGGATGGTGTGGCAGCCTATGTCATGTCCTCATTCAGAATTCCATTCAAAATACCAATCAACTTAACGATCCATAATATCTGACCAGACTCCAAATAACAACCGCCGAGCTTGCGAATGACTCCCGCGGACGGATTGCGGCCGAACCAGCAAACAACCAAAGCTCCAAAACCACCGCAACGTCATGGACCAAAAGAAACGAGAGCCAAGCTGGGCAAGACAAACAAAACGAAAGTAACGAGGGGAACGAGCAGAGAGAGAAAACAACAAGAGTCGTGTAATATTTCCCCTTGTGCTTGGAGAAAATATTGTTGTACAGCAGCGCCTGGCCGCAGCGGATTGAAAGAACGTCTACCGGAAAAAACGCGACCCAAGCTAAACGACAAAATACGAGGACCAAGCTAGGGAGTGTAAACTAAGTTGGAACGAGAACAGAGTATTATTCGGATCGAACAAATATTCACCTTGTGCTTGGGGAAGATGTTGTTGTACAGCAGCGCCTGGCCGCAGCTGATGCTGTACGCGCTCAGCTTCCGCGCGCTGAACCAGTCCAGCAGCTCCTGCATCGTGATGTCACCCTCGATGATCCAGCGGTCCCAGATGGACCACTCGAGCTCGTTGTGCTTGAACTTCTTGGGCGGGATGGGCTCCGCCATTGCGAACAGCGGGAGCGCCAGGTTGGCGAACGTGTTGCGGTGGAGCTCCATCGGGTGGCCCTGCGAGGGGCGAAGAGGACAAAGGAAATGAGAAGGCCCGACTTTTGATGGTAATTTACGGGCGCTTAGTGAGAACGTAGCCATCATATGGACAAATCAATAGCGGGGGCGCCAGATTGGATGTGTGGTGGTGTTGCGATGGAGCTCCATCGGGTGGCCCTGCAAAGGGAGGGGGGGGGGGGCAAGAGGGTAAGAAAATGGCTTATATTATGGTGGAGAGGGCTGGGGGTAGGATTATGTCGGAGTTGATTTCCTTCCAGCGAAAATGGAATTGCGCACTTCTTTAGGGTCGCGCTTCAGACCGCACCTGCGGAGCCTTAACACCTAATTTCTAGAGACTGACTCGCTCAATGCTGCAGACCCCTCGTTTCAACCCTAAACCAGTCTTCAAACATACGAACTAGTAGTAAGCGAGTCGCGACTTGGACCGCTCACCTGCAGCGTCTTGTACAGCTCGAGGCAGACGAGCCCGGTGGCCATGGCGGTGGTCGTCGCGATGGCGGGGATGATGCGCCCCGCGATGAACTTGGCCTTGAGCTTGTCCACCTCCGGGATCTGGTAGTTGCGCGCGCGCATGTTGGCGAGGCCCGCGATGAAGTCCATGTGGAAGTTGGTGTCGTCGTCCTGCGGGGAATACAGGCAAAGAACGGTTAGGCAAACCAAGTTTCTCTACTTTGAAATGAACTTGGGGTGGTCTTCAAGCGACTGCTCGGTTGGCCCCACAAGATTTCCAGGAGAAATGGGTGCACTTTTCCAACGAGGAAAAACCTGGAGACGCCTGTAAACCGCTCCAGGTCTTAGGGCCACGATTTGAAGGTTCTGTCAATAACTGAACGATGGCACTGAATCGACGAGCGATCTCGTGATGGCGTCCGGCTGATCCAAAGCGACCTGTTCCCGCAAGAGATGAAAGTCCAAAAAATAATCCCGCTGAAAGAGAAAATGGCGGCAGTACATCCTTAGGCACTGACCCCTTCTTTAGCCCTCAACCCTTTCTACTCAACCTCACCCTCCCTTGTGTCTGGCATTCTCTTCAGTCTCGTTTTGCACACAACGACCGCGATCGACGCCCTCTCGGCAACCTTCTCATTCCTTTTCATCTTCCACCCGCCTCACGTCTTTCACTAACCTTTCCAAAGGAATAGGCCATTC